AACGGCCAACCTGATCCCCCTCTCTCATCTAGCACAGGGGCGCCATATTTGCTTTCTCCCACTCCAAAATGTAACTTAGGCTAGGTCTTCTGCATAATGATGTAGTTCTCCAAGGCAAAAATATTATGGTCTTGGGCTTTCTTTTTCTTCCTGTCCTCTTTTGGGAGTGACCTTAATCCATTTATTAGTAATGAGCTTACTAGTCAATGAAAAGAACATGCTAATGACTCTGTCCCGATTTCTATTCTTATGGCCAGAACTTCAGTTTTCCTGTCTTGAAAGGAAAAGGGTAGTATAGACCATAAACCAAATGCGTGTACTATTAGCTTATCAAGCATACACTGAATCTAGTTTGTCATACGTTCCAACTGATCAGGGCCCAGGACGGGATGCTGGCCCCTCAGCAACTTTGCCCGATTTCTCTCGTCCGTGCTGCCTCTAGTGATTGCACGGCCCCGCATCTTGTGCTGGGCAGAGGAATACCTCCCCCCTGTCATCTATCCTGTCTCCCTCAACCCCAACTCACCCCCATGGCTGTGCTTTCTCTTTTATGCACTTTTGCTGTCTACTCTCAAAGCTCCTCCTTTTCTGGTGAGGTATATCCGTTCTTCTGTCCTAATTCTGCTCTGTTTTCTCTTGGGGTGTTGGAGCCTGCGGGTCTGGTAGGGAGAGAAGGGGAATAAAAAAAAGGCCTTAACAGTGATCTGAGCTCAAGTAAGATATCTAAAAACAAAACGAAAAAAACAAAAACCTTTCACACTTTCCAAATGAACAATTCCATAGGCATTTCCTATGTGATGTTTTGCTAAAAGTGCATCTCCCTGTGTCATTCAGCAGGATGACTCCAGGAGGAACGAGTAGGGGAGAAAAAGCCATCCTGTCCTATTGTTGAAGGGGGCAGTCAAGGTGGCTGAACAGGCACAAATTTACAAGCGCACGTGTGCATGCGTGTACATGCACACACACACACACACACTCTCTCTCTCTCTCTCTTTATCTGTGACATTTTACCAAATTAATAGAGGCATATCTTACAAAAGGGGCTTTTTGCCTCTAGCATTCTCCCTGGAAAGCATTCCACAAGTAAGCAAAGCAAAACAAACAAGTAGAAACAGTGTAACAAAGAGTATGCACCAGGCTCCGTTCTGGAGATTTCTAAGAGGAACAGTTCTAGGACTTGACATATTTTCAGCAGCCCTGGAATGAATGGCAACCTAAAAGTGATCATTCCAAAGATGCATAAGAGCAGAGACAGCTGAAAAATCAGTGTAACTTGAGTGGAAATCTTTTATAGTCTCCCAGGTGCCTGTGGCACGTCCTTAGTTAAATTCCCAAACTAGCCCACTGGCATCCATCTTGTTGTGAAAACATACTGTATTGTTATCAGTTCAGCATCTCTCCCCCTAAATCTAATCCTGAAAATCCACAGGAATTCAAACCATGGTAAGAAACCAGAATTTAAGAAATGACTGTATACCTGCTTTGTAATAGGTCGCCTGTGTCTGATCTACCTCTAGAAACAGAAAAATGGTCATTAGAACAACACATGCTGGTATTTGTGGTCCAGCAACTAAGCAGGCACTGGTCGGCTGTCCCATTTGTCATCCTCAGTTGGAAAAGGCTTACATTCCTATATTCTGAGGTGGTATAATAATTTAGTGATTATGTATTATTTGGAAAGTATCAATTTAATTAGCTTCTAGATATTTGGAATTCTTTGTGTTATGAACTCCCAGCTAACAAACATCTCATGACCCCAACTTTTCATCAAGTTATCCAGAGCTGATCTTGAAATCTAAGGATGGATTTGGATGATTTATTGGAGCAGATTTCTATTCTCTACAACTATTCTCTACCTTTTTTTAATCCCTTTGTGTGTCATCATACCTTGGTTTTAGGCTCTCCCTTCCTCACCCATTTTTTTAAATGACATAGTTTAAGTGTCCTTAAGTAAACTCCTACAGAGAGACACACATCCTAATTATGTGAAAACACTGTATGAAGTATAGCAACTAAGCAACAATAAATGACACCCCCCTTCTTTTTTATTTTTTCTTGTTGCCAGTCACTCGAGGAAAGTTCTTTCTCTATTTCCTTACTTCTCTTTATTATTTTACCCCGTGGAACAAAATAGACCATAATTTAGGTTGAGAAATGCACAAGCAGTACCAATATACATTTATGAGAAAGGAAAGGAAAGCTATAGTTTTAAAGAAATGATATTATACATAATTGATAGTGACATCAATTTGTATCATCTTTTTTTTTTTTTTTGAGAGAGAGAGAGAGAGAGGGTGCCTGCGTGTGCAAGGAGCAGGGAGGGGTAAAGGGGGGGCAGAGAGAATCTTAAGTAGGCTCCCCACAGAGCCCGACACAGGGCTTGATCTCATGACTCTGAGCTCATGGCCAGAGCCGAAATCAAGAGCCGGATATTTAATTAACTGAGCCGTCCAGGTGCCCCTCAATTTGTATAATCTTAGAAGAAACTAGAAGTCAATCCTTTAAAAAAAAAAAAAAAGAAAGTATTTCTTGTTTTATTAGACAACCTTAAATACATTTTTTTCTAATATCCTTAAATATATTTTTCTACTTAAGTGTTCACATAGACTGAAAGCAAGCCTGTTAAATTGGCTAAACAAGGATGTGTGTAGACAATGAGGTCACTGCAGGGAAATGCATGTAATCAGGTATGATCCCTCAGAACTACAACCTAGGCCCGGGTTAAGAATTTTAGGTACCTGGGGCACCTGCCTGGCTCAGTCATTGGAACATGTGACTCTTGGTCTCGGGGTTGTGAGTTTGAGCCCCACGCTGAGTATAGAGATTACTTAAAAATTAAAAAAAAAAAATCTTAAAAAAATTTATAAAAAGAATTTTAAGTATCTGAAGTCGTTTGTTTATTCCCATTTCCTGCATTTATTAAACATTTATGGATCACACATTATGTCTCCTGGGAAGTTAATCTTAAGGCACCTTACAGTTATAGGACTGTGGGGAATATGGGAAAATTAACTTGGGATCCAACTGGGGAGAATCTCGAGTACTTGGCTAAGGAGTCTGGGCTCTTTCCCAGTAGCAAGGGGGGTTCACTGAAGTTGTTTTGGGCATGAGAGAGATAAAGAAAGCAGTATTTTAGTAAGATTAATTTGGCATAATTGTCCCTTAATGAATTCGGATAAGGAAAGACAGAAAAGTGTGCAGGTGAGTTAAGAAGCAACTGGACCGGTTCAAGCTTTAAGGTAGAGGGTCTGAATTAAGGTACCTGTGGTGGACATAGGAAGGAAGGTCGACACAAGATACTGCATGGGAAGAATCACTTGAACTTGCTGACCCAGTTAGAGGTGGGAATTGTCAGAGTCACCACAAGTGACTCTCGGTTTCCAGTGTGTGGTTGCCTGGGATAAAGATGATGCCAGTGGCATTGACAGTGGAAACGATGCTCATTTTAGTTTGAAATGTGCCAAGTTGGAGGCTCTAATAAGATGAGGAAGTGGTAAGTTCTAAGATATGGTCAGGAATTCAGGTCTGAAACTTAGTAATCAAATCTCTATATAGAAATTTGAGAGTTCTCCCATCGGGGTTGGAACTATAATTGAATTTGAATCAGCTAAATAAATTTCAAACCCTCCCACTGGTATGCCTTCTCTGAGAGTGTATGGTATCCTGGAGTGAAGGTATAGAGCGAGAGAAGAACAGAGAGTTGAGGACTTAACTTTGAAACTTTGGAGAACTCACAACCGGAAGGCAGAAATGGACAGAGAGCCAGTGAGAAAGAGTAGACGTGGGAATGAGAAGGCAGAGAAGAAGGAGGAGAACCAAGATAATGTGGACTAGTAAGGGCCAAGGGAGGAGGAGATTTCGAAAAGGAAGTTAAAGAGAATGAAGACTGAGTAGATCCTGAGGGATCGGACCTATAGGAAGTAGTGCTCTTCCCGTGATCCATCCAGCATTAAATAGTGGGTAGATCATATAAATTATTTTCTGTAGTTCAATTCAACAAATATGTATCAGTGATCACAGATGTTTCCCCCTTTTCTTTCTCAGATTGAGTAAGGCTTCACAAGTTCAGCTCTATTAAAAGCAGTTTATTTTTTTTAAAAAGATTTTATTTATTTATTTGACAGAGAGAGAGAGACACAGTGAGAGAGGGAACACAAGCAGGGGGAGTGGGAGAGGGAGAAGCAGGGTTCCTGCCAAGCAGGGAGCCCAATGCGGGGCTCGATCCCAGGACCTGAGATCATGACCTGAGCTGAAGGCAGACGCTTAACGACTGAGCCACCCAGGCGCCCAAAAGCAGTTTCTTTAAATGATGAGGGAGTTAAACAAAGTCTGGGACTAGGCTGATTCCTAAGGAGCTACAGAGGGACTATGATTTTCTCTGATCTGAAAGTCTGGTCTATAGTAGAATATTGGAAAATGGGAGTAATTTCAAGGAGTTACTTCACTACCTTGAAGGATCTTGTTGAACCATATTATGCCAGTCCTAGCCTGGTCCAGATCTTATTCTACCAACAGAATATGACACTATTTAGATATTGTTTGGTTGAGGGGTAGGCTTGCAGTTTGAGTCATATAAAAAAAAACAAAGACTGCTATCGGGACTGAAATTTTTGAAATTTTTCTAGATATAGAGAGATTTTATTTGGCTTAAGCTCCATTTTTACATAAAATAGCCCTGTAGCAGCTATAAAGAAGGTACACTTTTAGTATCTGATGTTTGTGTGGAGCACATAGTTTGTTTTCAAAAAGACATTGGCTTTTAAAATATTCACTAGTTTCACCTCTAGGTTTTAGCTATTTGTGGCTCAGCTGCTGTTAAATGTGATCTTTTCACTTCTCCAAACTGAGGTCTGCTGACCTTATGCTCTGGGGCTCTGTCCTGAATTGGAGGTAGTTCTAGAAGATGCTACAAATTGCAAAAGTGGACTGGGCAGAAGAGAAGGAAAGCTGTCTAGAGATGTGTACCCTAGGAGGATTTAATTCTTGGAATTTTATTACAGAAGCTGAAAAGACAATCCACCAAGTACAAGGCAGACAAAACCTATCCCACAACTGTGGCTGAGATGCCCACGAATATCAAGAAAAACAGATATAAGGATATTTTGCCCTGTAAGTTTCATTTCTCCCTGTAAACTTGTACCTTACCTTCTCCCCGGTTCAATCGTTCCTATCTCTTTTTACCCATTGCCTGCTGATCCTAATCCTGGAACAATGCCTTGACAAGTTTGTTTGTACTGCTTACAACCATGAAAGAACATTCACTCACTCACTCACTCACTCACTCACTCACTCACTCACTCAGCAAACACTTATGAGTATCCACTATTCACAGTGCTAGGTCCTGACTTACAGTAAACCCTCTGACCAAGCCCTTTTAGTTATATTGTGTCTGTCTCCTGTATTATAGATGATCATAGCCGAGTAGAGCTGTCCCTGATAACCTCGGATGAAGATTCCAATTACATCAATGCCAACTTCATTAAGGTACACCCTGTATTCTATACTTCTCTAGGTACCTAAACAAAGGGGTTGGGATACTAGACCATATTTCTCTAGGTACCTAAAAAAAAGGTGGAGGGGATACTAGACCAGAAGAAGAGGATATTATCTGTAGTCAATCCCATACAACTTCTGTTCCCCTTTAGGGAGTTTATGGACCCAAGGGTTACATTGCCACCCAGGGACCCTTGTCTACAACTCTCCTGGACTTCTGGAGGATGATCTGGGAATACAGTGTCCTGGTAAGGGCAGAGTTGCTTTTGTTACTCTAGTCTGTAGCTGTTGGGGAGGGTGTCAGCATATGTGACTGAGGTTTCCTCTGCATTAAAATTGGTGCCTTTTGGGGTCAGTCGCTAGAATTTCAGTGTTCAGGCAAATTTTTGCCAAAATCACAATGTCACCCTTATTCAAGGAAATGAAAGTTCATATCTTGACAGGTTCATTTGTTAACAAGAATTTACTGATTTGAATAGAGAAAAGGGAAGTAAGGACAGAAAGAAGGGTAGGAGCAACATTTTATCATTTACCAAAAGATTTCTTTTGGGGGTTAAAGAACAAACAAAACAGAAAAACAAAAAAAACAATGACTTTGGGACCCATGTATTAACTGCTCTTTCTAACTACATCAATGCTCTATCTATTTCATCCCCTCAGATCATTGTTATGGCATGCATGGAGTTTGAGATGGGGAAGGTGAGTCGCTTTCCAGTGGACCTAAAGATAAAGGAAAGAGAAGGGGGAGACTTGGTTGCAGAACTTTCCTTAAGTGTGCCTACTTAAAAATTATTCTCATCTTGCTAGCTGTCAGTTTGGGAATGCTAAATGATTTACTCTCAAGGCTTTTTTACCCCTAAGAACTCCTTTTGTCCACTTTCTCAGTAGACTCTCTATTTTAAAGTAAAGATAAGATATGTTTTTAAAGTAACGATTCATTTTCCCACTTTTATTAATTGGGCATCTTTAACTGGCAGTAAGCACTTCTTTTTTTTTTTTTTAAAGATTTTATTTATTTTAAAGATTTTATTTATTTATTTGACAGAGAGAGCGAGAGCAGGAACACAAGCGGGGGAGTGGGAGAGGGAGAAGCAGGCCTCCCGCGGAGCAGGGAGCCCGATGTGGGACTCGATCCCAGGACCCTGGGATCATGACCTGAGCCGAAGGCAGACGCTTAACGACTGAGCCACCCAGGCGCCCGGCAGTAAGCACTTCTAACCGCATGCTGTCCAACATGACATCCACTAGTCACATGTGGCTATGGGCGCTTGAAACATGGCTAGTTTCAGGGAACTCAATTTTATTTCATTTTATTTTAGTGAGTTTAAATTTAAAAACTTGGTTTTCCAATTCAGTGTTTGGAAAACTTTAAGTGTGTTTTGAACAACTTGGGTACATGAATCTTTTTCAACTATACATTTGATGAACTCTAAATGGAAATAAAATGTTTCCAGTGGCAATTTAGGGTATTGAGGTGTGAGGTAAATATAAAACACACCCTGGGTTTTGAAGACCGAGATAAGAAATGTCAAATATAGAATATCTGTTTTATATTGATTACATGTGTTTTTTTTTATATATACTGGGCTAAGCTGTATTATTAAAATCATTCTCATTTTTTTTCATTTTTGAATGGGGCTATTAGTAAACTTAAAACTTCATGGGTAGCTCACATTACATTTCTATTGAATAGTACTCTTCTTACTTACTGTTATGAGACACTCGTAATTCCAGTTAAAACCAAGCTTTCAGGGGTGCCTGGGTGGCTCAGTTGATTAAGCATCTGCTTTCGGCTCAGGTCAGGATCTCAGGGTTCTGGGATCAAGCCCCTGTGCAGTCCAGTCTCGGGCTTCGGGCTCAGTGGGGAGTCTGCTTGTCCCTCTCCCTATGCCCTCCCCGCCCCCTGTTGTACTCTCTCTCAAATAAATAAAATCTTTAACAACAACAATAAAAACAAGCTATCACTTAGCTTGTGCAGCTTTGCTTTAGTAGACATGATTTCTGTTAATCCTTTTGAAAGAAATACAGTAGTCCCCCCTTATTTGTGTGGGATAGACTCCAAGACGCCCAGTGGATACCTGACAGTGTGGATAGTTCCAAACTCTATATACACTGTTTTTTTCTATGCACACATACCTATGGTAAAGTGTAATTTGTGAATTAGACACAGTAGGAGTTAATGACAATACTAAAATAGAACAATGATAACAATATACTATATGTTATGTGAATGTGATCTCTTTTTCTCAAAATATCTTATTGTACTATACTCACCCTTCTTCTGATGATGATGTGAGAAGATCAGATGTCTACATGATGTGATGAAGTGAGGGCAATGACGTAGGTGTTGTGATGTAGGGTTAGGCTACTACTGACCTTCCAACAATACATCCTGGACTATAGGTACCTGAAAGACTGCGGTTGACCATGGGTAACATGGAAAGCAAAGCTGTGGATAAGGGGGGACTACTGTACTGAAAATGTCAGATCCCCATTTCTACTTCTTCAGACTTCTAGGAATTCTGTAATTTACATATCCTTTAGTGTTTTTCCCATCCTTGGAGATTCCAGACCACGCTGTTGGTGTTGAAGCTAACCAGGGGGTTAGATCATCCTAACCTAAGGTGAAGGACACAGAGCTAAATTTGCTTCTGAATGAGGAAGTGGGTTTTGCTACCCAGAAGAGACTAGAATATCTGGAGGGGAGTCATGACATTCTGCTTTGTGCAACAGAAAAAGTGTGAGCGTTACTGGACTGAGCCAGGAGAGCTACCACGGCAAGTTGGCCCTTTCTCCATATCCTGTGTGAGTATGATGCCTGCTTCTGTTATGGCTGAACAGATGCTCCAGGTTCTACTTTATAGAGACTAGTTTTTGAACATTAGTTTTTGAAATAACTAATATTTGAATTTACTTCTTAGGAAGCTGAAAATAGAAAATCTGATTACATAATCAGGACTCTAAAAGCCAAGTTCAATAGTGTAAGTATAAACCCGAGTGGTAAACTCAAGAGCCCACAGAGGCAAATACATATGTATGTGACTTGGGCTGGGCACAAGACAATGGGGAGCGGTGCGGCCTTTGATGTTCTGGATAAATCTTCACATGCAAAAGAGACCTTTGGTATAATCCCTACTTCCCAATCTATTGCACACCATGGCACACTTATAAAATGATAATATTTGTAGGATGAATAGAGGCTGTGCAGTGAATAGAGGCTGAGAACCAACTTGAGAGCTCGCATTGCCCCATCTCTCTACGGCAAAGGGGTTTAATAGATCAGCATGCCTGTGACCCACTTGAACTGGTGAAGCACACCAGTTGGGAAGCTCTGGTTTGGACTATCTTAATATCTACCACCTCTTGTGAGTGGGGCAAAGAGGGACAGACCAATAGTCAGTGTTCTCAGATGGCATGTGGTCCCCAGAGGCCTATAGAGAAAAAAGCAGCATAAATTGCCAACAGGACAGAGATGCTACTTAGGAAGTCAGAGTAATCTTATGGTGGAATGAGGTGGGGTCCTAACACTGAACTTTCCTTTCATTCTGGCTATTTTTTTTCATAGGAAACTCGAACTATCTACCAGTTTCATTACAAGAATTGGCCAGACCATGATGTGCCTTCATCCATAGACCCTATTCTTGAGCTCATCTGGGATGTGCGTTCTTACCAAGAGGACGACAGTGTTCCCATATGCATTCACTGCAGGTATAATGCTCTTCTATGTACCTTCCACCCCAAACAAACCAAATATCACAGTCTGGCCAGGACTCCAGCTGTACCTGAAGGAAGACAGACTCTGTTGGAATTTAAGGTGGTACAAGCAAATAGGATGTAGGCTCCTGATCCTAGTCTCGCTTTTTCCAGTTGATTAGAAAGGAACAAAGCTTAGAAATGAGAGTGATTGAAAGAGCAAGGTCCATAGCAAAAACAAACTATAATAAATTCAAGCATTTAATTAATATTAAATTATTGAATTAAAGCATTAAATTAGTATTTTCTGACAAGTTACTTGGAAACAGTGCAGCTCTAGAGACTCTTGCTTAGAGAAGTCACCTAGGATCTGTCCTGAGGTTTGGTGTGGGCATGTGGCAACTGACAAACATGCTCTAGGAAATGGGGGGGAGGGGTTGGAACGTTTCATTGCTTCTAGGTTCCTTCTTCCTCAATCTGCTGGTGATATTTCCCAGCTACCGTCGATGATCCACCCTCTGCAACTATATGTGCTCCTATGATCTTTCATTTCAGTGCCGGCTGTGGAAGGACTGGTGTTATCTGTGCTATTGATTATACCTGGATGTTGCTAAAAGATGGGGTAAGTTTCTCTCCGCAGGCACTTCCTGTCTGCTTACCCTGTTACTTTCAGACTTAGGAATTGTTTGGTTCTTCCAAACATCTATCTCCATGACTCATCTTTTCTAGAGTATTCACTGTAGACCCGCTTTGTCAGATGATTAAATTAGGCCCTAGGTGGGTCGTTCTCAAAGTGTGGTTCCCAAACAAGCAGCATTGGCATCACCTGAGAACTTGTTAGAAATGCAAAACCTTGGGCCCTGCCTTGGAGGGACTGAAGCAGAAACTCTGGAGGTGGAGGGGAGGGGAGGGTGGGCAGCAAGCTCTCCAGGTGCTTCTGATGCATGCTGTAGTTTGAGAATCACTGCCCTAAATTCCACAGTTACCCTTCCTTTATCCAAACTACTTTAGTGGATGGACTCAATTTACCACAATCAAACCTTGTGTTCCGATCTCTAAGTCATTTTTTATAGTCTAATAGGAAGTGGGAAGTTTGAAATATATCTGCCAACTTTTTCATTTCATGAAATTCTCATACTTGCTCATCTACTCGAGCCTTCTCCCTCATTATAGGTTTTAACTTCAAACATTTGATGACCCCATGTGAAATCATTCTCAAGAGTTTCTTCAATCTTTTCTGGGGAAAATACCAGGCTCTAAATCACGATGCAAGTGATGAGAAATCTCATTCATTTTAAAAATGCATTCTTTTTTCGGATATTATCTTCTGTTAAGAGAGCAGATATCATGGGAGTGACAAGACTAGGAGAAATAATTTATTAACAAAGCTAAGGAACAAAGGAGCAAGATATTTTTTTTCCTTTTATTTGATAGATACTTCCTGAGAACTTCAGTGTTTTTAGTTTGATCCAGGAAATGCGAACACAAAGGCCTTCATTTGTTCAAACTCAGGTATGCAACTATGGTGAATGGATCATAACATGTGTCTGAGTCTTGCTACATCTCTCTGTTCAATAGTAAGACAACCCAAAACAGCTGACTGCCTAGCTGTAACACCGATTGACTCTTAGGTTCACTAGCCCATTGGCATTTCGTTGAACTCTGAATAGATCAATTTTTTGCCTGTATCCCTTGCCTTGGGTCAAATTCCTCTCATTCCTTGTATTTTTTTTCCCTTCATTCCTTGTATTTTACTGTCTGTGCAGAAAATATTAAGAAACTAATATAATATTTCTTATAAAGGATGTTGAAGAAATTCCACAAGCTGATTTATTACAAAGAAATAGTTGGGTCGGGTTAACTGGAAGTTTTAGAGCAATAATTCACTTCTGAAACTGTAGAAAAATCAGAGATTTGTCATTTCAACTTCAGGAAGTGGTAACAGAATCTGGAGAATGCAATCTGTATACTCATTTTTTGACTTGATGAAAAATAAAAATAAAAGCAACCATACTCCTATCACCTAGAGGTAGCCACGATTACTATTGTTCTGTAGTCTCTCCTGATCCTTATTGTATGCATACTTTAAAAAACCATAATTAGAATCATACTATATATACGGTTACATATGTATGACAATATTTTCATCCACCCCAAAGTGCTCACCCTCGTTCACTCCGTTAGGGATGCTCTTCCCCTGTTTTGTCCTCTCCTCTCCTGCTCAAGTTCCACCGCCTAGGTGAAACTTTCCCAGCACATATCTCACTCTCTACAATAACAATTTCACCCAGATTTCCATACCAATAATTTTACCCACATTTCTAAAAAAAAAAAAAATAGTCTCCATCTTTAAGATGGAGTTTAGCTTTGCTGCATTCATTCATTCACTAAGCATTGATTGATATAAGTAACAGACACTTTCACATAATTTGTTAGAACTACTTTCTCCTGCTGAGATGGCAAGACCCTGAAGTGTTTAAAGCACTTACAAATGAACTTGCACATAGACTTGGAGGTAAAACAATCACCAGTGGAAGTTTAGGTATTTTCATTGGGCATTTGTGAATTGAGGGGAAAAAATGAAGAGCTATTGTAATATAAGCCTTCTGTTTGGCCCACACAGGTTTTCCACTAATAGCTAGTGGAAAAAAAAAAATTTTTTTTCATGCGTCGACTGTAGGTGTTTTCTATATTCAACCTGAGGGAAAAAGTTTCTGTGATATAAAAGCACTGGCTGGTTTAGTGCCACCAGACTTAAAAGCAGGCTAAAGACCCCAGGAAGTATGCAACCTAGTTTTCTAATATCACACTGTAACACTGAATCAATCAATAAAACCCTACCCCACTTCAGAGAAAGTCCATTTCCGGCCTCCTTGCAAAGGTCGGAAGACAGAGGAAGCGATTTCCGGTTAGCCTTCACATGTTCATCAACATTATCAACAACTAGCTGAACAAATCCCTTCCCAGTTGTCGCTGCTTTTTCTGATACCATTCTCACCAGGAAATAGCACTGTAACCAGCTGAGCGCTTCCTGTCTGACTTTTCTCTCAAAAAAATGGAAAAGTGTACCAACAGATGTGTTGGGTGATACGGACTCTGTAGTGTTCTGCTAAAATTATAATTGGCAAAAGTTGTGCTTTATTTGTATAGGATTGTGTGAAGTGCCGGGGAAACCCCGCTGAGGCTCTTTCAGATGAAAAGTAGATCCAAAATCAAGTGCTAGAGCAGGTCCGGTGGCAAAACCCCCCTCCTCCCTCCTCTCCGCGCCCCCCCCCCCCGCCCCAGGACCTTGTAATGGTGATGGTGTCATTTCTAGACAGTGAAATCCTTTTACAAGCATAAATTTCCAGACTCTCTTGGGTGGTCAGCTTTTCTTGGGTGTCTTTGCTAGGAGAGCATTTCAGCGGCTTGATCTAGGCGCACTAAACTAAGGGAAGATTCAGGTTCGAATCCAAGTCTGGAAATCACTGCTGAACGACCTTGCACAAAATGTAAACAGGGATAATAGCCTACCTACTTTAGAGATCAATTGTCAGGGTCAAGTGAAGAATACATATTGAAGCTATCTATCTACCCATCGACCACAATCTATCTCCATTTTTCCAGAAAAGATGAAGATGCCTGACCAAAAAATGCATCCAGGATCAGATAAAATGTTTAAAATGTGAGCCAGGAAAATGGAATTGGAGGGTTGATGGTGGAGGGAAGGATAAGTGGGATCAAAACATAAAACATGCTGGAAAGCCCTTGTATATTTAGAGGTAGAAGATCAAATATTTAGCTGTTTCTAGTAGCCTTGAAGTGCTTTGCAATCCTAAATGGGCTACGCAATCGTAGTGCCTAAGGGCACTACGATTAAATTACTGTTGATGGTCTTTTCAGGTCTGCTATACTAGGATTTGACTGATGTTCACACTCCTGAACTCTGGTTCTGTGGTTCACCAAGTTTCTTGTTTGTTTTCATTTGTTTCGGTTTGTGATGCTCTTCAGGAACAGTATGAACTGGTCTACAAGGCTGTATTAGAACTTTTTAAGAGACAGATGGATGTTATTAGGGATCAACACTCGGGAACAGAGGTAAACATTAAACTTGATATTTTGTCTTTTTTTTCATATTTGATTTTGGTCAAGGGATCTCAGATCAGTTGCAGGACTTAACTTAGTATTTATTGTCACTTAGTTGTTGGAGCGTCAGGGGTGCATGGGCTACACTGCAAATCTCCTGTGGAGAAGGACCAATTAATTGAAGTACATCAACTTAGAAAATGAATCTTTTGGTTAACCTACTGTATACAAGTTTCAGCTCCATTTAGAAACAATAGGAGTGAGTGACAGGGCAAGTGTATATTCTGTTCTCAGGTCAATAGCTGTGTGGCAAGTTAAAAGTGAGAGTGACGGTTACAAAGTGAAATCATAGTTGAGTACTAATGTGATTTTTCAGGTTCCTCTAGCCTCACTTTGATTGCATAAGTCTCATCAAATTTTGGGAATATTTTAGAATATGCAGAGGAATTTTTAGCTGAGGGTCTTACATATAAAAATGATTATGATTTAACCAAATTCCAATTAAATATTGAGTATTCCAGGATATGCTATTTTGATCTCATCACAAAAATTGATGAGTCAAATACTTACTGTGTAGTCACAAAGCACTAGGTTCTGAACAAACTTAAAGAAGATAAAATTACTGATTTACATTTCAATGGTATATTTTGTAACATATATTTCTTAATTTAATTTTTAATATCACATTTTGGATTCTTAAACTGAAAATATTCACTGAGGACCTGCTACCTGACTACTACCTAGTATTAGGAATACAAAGTATATAAGACATGATTCTGATCATAACTCCTGTCAGTCAAATGCTGAATCAAGGGGAAGGAAAGAAAGCTAGAAAAACTGTTGAGGTTTGAAAAGGACTAAGCAATCCTGGTTACTGTCAACTTCAAGGGAAAACAATGTGGTGGAAGGACATGAAATAAGAGTATGGTCTTGTCATAAATTTTTACTTATATCCTATTTATGTATGTTTTATTGGCTAGTATTCCCAGACCAAAGTTAAATGATAAAGGTGATTATGGACAACCAAATTTTAATGGGAAAGATTTTCATGTTTCACTATCAAGTGTGATGCTGACTTGATTAGAGATATGTGCTTGTTTGTTTTATACCTCTTAATCCCCATCATCTATTTCACCTCTTCCCCCATCTACCTCCTCCCTGGCAACCACCAGTTTATTCTCTATAGTTAAGAGTCTGTTTTTTGGGGGCATCTGGGTAGCTCAGTCAATTAAGTGTCCAACTCTTGATCTTAGCTCAGGTCTTGATCTCAGGGTCGTGAGTTCAAGCCCTGTGTTGGGCTCCTCACTGGGCCTGGAGCCTATTTAAAAAAAAAAAAAAAGAGTCTTTTTTGTTGTTGTTGTTAATTTTGCTTTTTAGATTCCCCAAATGAGTGAAAACATATGGTATTTATCTTCCTCCGTTTGACTTATTTCACTTAGCATAATACCCTCTAGGTTCATCCATGTTGTCACAAATGGCAGGATTTCATTCTTTTTTATATGGAATATTCATTCATCTATGGATGGACGCTTGAGCTGCTTCCATAGTTTGTCTATTATAAATAATGCTGCCATAAACATAGGAGTGCATATATCCCTTGAAATTAGTGTTTTTGTATTCTTTGAGTAAATACCCAGTAGTGTGATTACTGGATCAAATGGTAGTCTTATTTTTAATTTTTTAAGGAACCTCCATACTGTTTTCCATAGTGGCTGCACCAATTTACATTCTCACCAACACTGCACGAGGGTTCCCTTTTTTCTACTTCCTCTCTAACACTTGTTTCTTGTGCTTTTTATTTTAGCCATTCTGACAGGTGTGAGGTGATATCTCATTGTGGTTTTGATTTGCATATCCCTGATGATTAGTGTTTTGAGCATCTTTCATGTGCCTATAGGCCATCTGCATGTCTTCTTTAGAAAAATGTCTATTCATGTCCTCTGCCTATTTTTTAATCAGATTTTTTTTGATGTTGAGTTATACAAGTTCTTTATATATTTTATTTTATTTATTTTTTATTTTTTTTAAAGATTTTATTTATTTGACAGAGACAGTGAGAGAGGAAACACAAGCAGGGGGAGTGGGAGAGGGAGAAGCAGGCTTCCCGCGGAGCAGGGAGCCTGATGCAGGGCTCGATCCCAGGACCCTGGGATCATGACCTGAGCCGAAGGCACACGCTTAACGACTGAGCCACCCAGGCGCCCCTCTTTATATATTTTAGATATTAACTCCTTATGAATATATCATTTACAAATGTCTTCTTCCATTCAGTAGGTTGCCTTTTGTTTTGTTGATGATTTCCTTTGCTGTGCCGAAAAGTTTTATTTTGATATAGTCCCCATAGTTTATTTTTGCTTTTGTTTCCCTTGCCTGAGGAGACATATCCATAAATATGTTGCTAAGGCCAGTGTCCAAGAGATTACTGTAAGAAATTACCTATGTTTTCTTTTAGGAGTTTGATGGTTTTAGGCCTCACATTTAGGTCTTTAATCCATTTTGAGTTTATTTTTGTGTATGGTGTAAGAGAATGGTCTAGTTTAATTCTTTTGCATGTAGCTGTCCAGTTTTCTCAACACCATTTATTGAAAAGACTGTCATTTCCCCATTGTATATTCTTTTTTTAAGTTATTTATTTATTTATTTGAGACACAGAGTGAGAGAGAGAGAGAGACAGAGAGAGAGCGTGCACAAGTAGGGGGAGGGGCAGAGGGAGAAGCTGACTCCGTGCTGAGCAGGAGGCCAAACTGCACTAGGGCTCAATCCCAGGACCCCAAGATCATGACCCGAGCCGAAAGCAGACACTCAAAAACTGAGCCACCCAGGTGCCCCACCCCATTGTATATTCTTGCCACCTTTGTCATGGATTAATTGATCATATAAATGTGGGTCTGTTTCTGGGCTCTCTATCTGTTCCATTGATCTCTGTGTCTATTTTTGTGTCAGTACATACTGTTTTGATGACTCTAGCTTTGTAATATATCTTGAAGTATGGGATTGTGCTATGTCTAGCTTTGTTTACTTTCTCAAGATTGGGCTTTGACTCTTTGAGGTCTTTTGTAGTTCCATACCAATTTTAGGATTATTTGTTCTAGTTCTGTGAAAAATGCTATTGGTATTTTGACAGAGATTGCATTGAATCTGTAAATTGCTTTGGGTTGTATGAACATTTTAAGAATATTAATTCTTCCAATTCATGAGCATGGTATATCTTTCCATGTGTTGTATCATCTTCAATTTCTTTAATCAATGTCTTTCACCTCCTTGGTTAAATTTATTCCTAGGTATCTTATTCATTTTGGTGCGATTATAAATTGGACTGTTATTTTTCAATTGTTTAAAGAGAGTATTCATTGATTTCTATTTTATTAGGAAATTTTTAGAGAAAGAATGTTGAATTCTGTCAATTGCATATTTTGAATTCATGGAGTGATCACGTGGATTTCTCCTTTGACTTATTAATACAGTCATAGCATTGGATTTGTTAATATCAAACCATCCCTGTATTCTTAGAATTAACCCGTCTTGAACAAAAAAATATTCTTTGTTTTTTAAAGATTTTATTTATTTATTTGACAGAGAGAGACACAGCGAGAGAGGGAACACAAGCAGGGGGAGTGGGAGAGGGAGAAGCAGGCTTCCCGCAGAGCAGGGAGCCCAATGTGGGGCTTGATCCCAGGATCCCAGGATCATGACCTGAGCCAAAGACAGATGCTTAATGACTGAGCCACTCAGACACCCCAACAAAAAAATATTCTTTTGATATGTTGCTGGAATATGTGGGCTAATATTTTATTTAGGTTCCAGGAAATGCCAGTACTCAAATTTAGCCCAGTAGCAGGGCCATGGCTCCAGCTGGGTTGTTTGGAGTGGGCCCTTAGTCAATAAATGGGAATGTAGCAACACAGTTCAAACTCCCACAGAGAGAATTGGTTACAGTTAAAAGAGGACTTCTGTTTCTGGAAAGATCAAATAGACATACTTTTCCCTATTCTTCCCACTAAGTGCAACCAGAAACCATTATGTAATTGACATTATATATAAAACAACTATAAGAAGGCTCTGAGTGATAGAAAGAAGACAGGCCAGCTAAGGACCTTGGAACCTGAGGAAAGACATGATGGTAAGTTCCTTGGATTTTCTTTTGACTCATATATCCCAGACTGGAAACTGAAGAAATCAACAACATGGAGAAGCCAGGGATGCAGACAAAAAAGCCCCAACAATAGCCTGCTCTGTCTAGCCAAAGGACCAGAAATGGGGCAGTCCAGCAAGACAGAAAACTTTTAGATAATCATCATTCTACTTTAGTCAACAGCACAGAAAATAGTGGTCCCCCAATCCCACCCATGTCAGCAAAGGCTGAGTGGGGTCCTAGATTCCCACCTTTCTAACACTGTAGTAGAATGCCAGAGTGGTGTCACAGAAGGTCAGGTAAAGAGGTAGGACTTTCATCCTTAATGGCCTGAAATGAGGGCTTCCTGCAGTGTCATTGGAGACTGCTTGGGGAGCCTGAGCTTCCACTGGACAGTAACATGGTACCCTAATGCCTTCCCACTGAAGTAGTATCAGAAGTCTAGTAGAGAGTTAGGATGTCCACCATCATCCAGCAGATAAGGCCACCCCTACCACAGTGTCAGTAGAGACCACATGGGGAGCCTCTCCTGTGACATCTCCCCTTGGGTGTCAACAAAGACTCAGTGAGGAAACTGGTAGAAGTAGAACACACCTGGCAGTAACAAGGCAGTAATGAGGCAGCACCTTCCCTTTCCTCTGTAGAATGGAGTTAAAAATAAAAGAACCTAGCTAAAAGAGAAGATTTAACTAAGATCCAGAGCCTCGTAACAATACAAAAATGTCTAGGTTTCAATTGAAATCACTCATCATACCAAGAACCAGGAAGATCTCAAACCAAATGAATAAAAGACAATCAATAGATGACAATAATGAGATGATAAAGATGTTAGAATTATCTGACAAAGTTTTAAAAGCAGCCCCAATTAAAATGCTTCAAT